CCCCCCCCTAGAGCCAACACCTCAAATGAGGGGTTTCTTTAGTCTTATTCACAAGAGAACCTCTAAAACTTTCACTGGAATTTGCAGTCAATTAAAGATTTTGAAGAATTTATTCAAAGTCTTCTTTTGCTGAACCTTCTCGTCTTTCTTTTCAGTGGGTCCTTTGGGAGACTTGGGCCGCCTCTGCTGCTGATGCTGTGCCTGTTGTTGTTGTTGTTGGCTGTAGGTCGGTGGTCGGTCGTCGGCGATAAACAGGGGGTGGGGTATGTGGCCGTATTTGTCCTGGTACGCTTCCTGATTGGTGGAAAATGTGGCAGATTTATTGAATTTGCTCTAAGGCACAGAATTGTTTCATTTTTTACCCGGTTGCGATTCATATCAAGATATACATGCACGTACACAGGTGAGACAGAAAGACAGATAGATAGATAATGATACACATGTATGGATGGATACGCAGTCTGCCAGCATACATTTATTTTCAACTACAGTTATACACTGGTGATTTAATGCACGAATATAAGTACACACGAATTATGCACTTGCACACATGTTGAAGGGGGAGGTAGAGCTTCCAACCGCTGTTAAAAACACCACTAACCATTAGCATCCAAACTGCTAACATCACAGCCACCACAATCACTACCATCACTGCTATCTTTACCACCATAATCTTTTCTAGTCCCAAGCACCTCATTCTTTCGTGATCACACCAACAACATCACCAACACCACTACCATCTTCTCTCACTACTACCACAACCACCACAAACGCCTTATTGTCTCGCTATCATCACAATTACTATCTCTAGTCAACACTACCACCATGATACCGAGGAACTTTATCTCCTTCCACTACTCTCTCTACCACCACTACCACTACTTAACTACCACCACCACCATCACCACCACAACAGCAAACACCACCACCACCACCATCTTTCACCACCATCACCACGATCACCATCACACTAAGTCACCTCAACGCTACGCTCACCCCCACCACTTTCTTCCCACCACCACCACGACCACGACAATCACCACCACCACAACAACAACAACAGAAAACACCACCATCACCATCTCTCACCATTACCACCACCTCCAGTACTCCAAAGCTGTGCTCATCACCACCACAACCACCACCACCCCAAGTCACCTCTGTACTGCGCTCACTACCACCATCTTTCACCAGTACCACCACTACCACCACCACCACACCTCATCAAGTCTGTCCATGCTTCGCTCATCCCTATCATCCATCACCATATTCTTTCACCACCACCCTCGTTCACCACCATCATCTTTCATCACCACCACTATCTTTCATTATCACCACTATCTTTCATTATCACAATCCTCATCTTTCACCACCACCAGGTTACATACCCCCCATCATCTTTGATCACTACTTTCCTCTTTCACCACCATCATCTTTCGCTATCATCATCGTTCACTACCACCACCACCATCATCGTTCATCACCACTATCGTTCGCCACCACCACCACTATCACTCACTAAAACCATCTTTCACAACCACCGTTCACCATCACCTCCACCATTGTTCACCACTACCATCGCTCACCACTATCATCGTTCACCACTACCATCGTTTATCTCAACCACAACCACAACCACCACCACCACCACCACCACTATTGTTCTCTAACACCACCATTCACCACCACCTCAAGTCCCCTCCATGCTGCACTCACCTGTATGACACGATGGAAAACCCTCTCGACCAGCTCATACTCCTCAGCAGCAGTCGTCTCGTAGAAAACCGCCTCGTACTCTGTCGCCAGCGCCGCTCCCTCCGTCTTGTTTACCTGCCTACACGTGCACGGATAATAAACAAAATCACGGATAATAGAACAGCTGTAACATGTTTTTCCTTGCATGCAACCTCAAGCAAGCACACCTTGCGCCACTCTGTCGAGAATTCCAGTCTTGCACTCACACACATAACCACACACAAATCCCCTCCCCCCCTTATTCGTTCGTTTAGTTATTTTTTGGGGGGGGGGCTCTCGTGGCCTATAGGTTAAGGTGCGCGCCTCTCATTCAGTAGGTCGCGGGTTCGAATCCGGGTAGGGACGAAAAATTTTTTCTCTAAAGTTTACTCTGTTCACATCTTTTCCTGCTCTCTAACAATATTGTCTGCTTTCGTCCCCACTTTCTGCCCCTACCCCCTCACCTCATTTGCTCCTTCTGGGCTCCTGACTCTTTCTGCAGCCTTTCCACTGATATTACTTGGGTCCTTCTTACTTATGTCATTCAGCCACACCCCTGCCGTTGTGGTAGGAAAAATCTACACCTAGCCTTCTCGGACAAATGCGAAAAATCCCGGAGGTACCGCGTGCAAGTTGCGGATGTTAAAGATCCCTTGGTGGTCCAAAATCGATATGAGTAGGCTTCGGCTGCCACTTAGGCAAAATTCAAAATTTCCTACCAATTGAAAACGTTTAATGTGTCCTGCGCGCTCACATGACCTTATGCAGTTGCGAGCGCCGTAAAACACTTACAAAAAAGTTATTTTACTCAGTCATCCACCAATCACGTCATTTCATACATTTATTCCCTCATCTACTCTCTCCCTCCCTCCTTCCCCCCACCTTTACTCACTCACTCACTCACTCCCTCACTCACTCACTCACTCACTCACTCACTCACTCACTCACTCACTCACTCACTCATTCACTCACAAATCAATAATTCAACTACTCACTAGTCAACAAACTAATTAAAAAAACTTGCTGATTGACTGACAGACTCATTCAATTAATCACTCAGTCACTTACTTTCTCAACTCATATCTCACCCAATCACCGACTTTCTCAGAAATTTCTTCATTCACAAATTCTCTCACCCACAGTACAACAAACATTCTGTGATTCATCTAATCATCTAACGAGTTTATGAGCGTTTTCAGTAAGTCCATCACTCACACTTTAGCCTGACTCATCTCCGCAGCCATTTATTTCTTTGATTATAATCCGCCCTGAAGTTCTCTCTAGCACCCAGTAAGTCACTCACTGACTCACCCACGCACTTTAGCCATCCCTACATCATTCATCGCTTCACATACACATAATGGCCCTGGCGCTCCGGCTACGCTCGAGGAGCCTTTCCTCACAAGTCTGAGAAGCCAGCGACAGGTGTAAGCAAGTCTTACTATACCTCTCACCCCCTCGTGTAGGCAACCGCCCCCTCTTTCTCGCCTTCTCTCCCCTTCTCTCTCTCTCTCTCTCTCTCTCTCTCTCTCCCCCCCCCCTCGCCCCTTATTTTTTCTCGGATACATTTCATACACCCGACTGAGCACTCCCTCATCTCTTTTTCGGGCCGCATTCTCCCACTGACTCCATACAAACCCTGATCTTATGAGTTTGTAGTAAATGAGGGGCGCTTTCTTCATCTACTTCAGTCGACGCTCAATGCTTGCTGCGCAGAGTAAAGAACAGTTTGGCACAGTACAGCTCCAATTTATACAATAATTATAAACAAATCTGTATTTTTTACAACTGCGTTAGAATATTGCAAATCTAGCTCGAAAGAGTGCTGCTATTCAAATCAATCCATAGAAATCGGATCACGATTCGACAGAATAATCGATCAAACATATTATTTTACCATGAATTTTTAACATTTTGATCTGATCACTGACCTAAACCAAGCCGTCCTGTGAACTAATGTGAATGCAACCAACTTGTGTTTCGCGCGCTCATATGACCATATGCAGTTGCGAGTGCCGTAAAACTCTTATTAAACTAACTCAACAGATCAGGAGACACCAGCATACTTCGTCATTTCAAACGAAGCAATGCCCCGATGTTTTGTGAATACATCTCAGACATATTAGGCGCGACATGTTACATAAGATATATTTTGGCACTAGCAACCCCTACCCCCACCCTCTCCCCCCTATCGCTCATCACAACGACAGGAAACATATTTAAATTAATTTCAAATACTGAGTTATTGACTAATTGACCACCAGCACCACAACTAGCTTTTTAAAAGTAAGGATTTGTAAGTAAGGATATTTCATTTAGGAGTCTTACAATCCCCTGCTCAAATATTATTTCATGGACAAAGAGAACTTTTCAACAAATAGAATACACACACCGGAGACTTGAAACAATCACAAGCTTCAGCACGCGCTGTAATTAATGAAGCAATGTTGTTTTTTCTGGTTGTTTGTTGATTTATCATGAAACTTAAAGAAACCCGTACAAACTGAAATACAAATTCAGCTCAGTTGATCTTTACAAAGAGCTCTCACCAGGGTTTTCCTGTTTTAAATAGATTCTGTGGTATTTGTAATCCAAATTAAATATATGGCACACCATTGCTGATAAAAGCTGATTATAGACTGAATTGTACTGTATTCTATTGTGTACTGTGACTGCTATCGAA